GTCGGCTAGAACGCCGTAAAAGCGTCGAAGACTCCCGTCTCCCACATCCACATAAAAAGGAAGAACGCTTAGACTTCATTTGGCGTAAAGATCCGCAAAATGCGTGCTTCTCAACAGAGCTACGACCAAAAAGTGAAGCTTCTTCAACTTGGACGCGGAACACAAAGTTCGAGAGGAGCAATGGAGCAATGGAACAACAGCGGACTGTTCCCGGACTGAAAGGACCGAACAACTGTCAAAATGTAACATTGTGGTTAGGAAAGAAACGAAGACGTAAACAATTCTCAGATGAAGGGGCCTCAACTACAAAATGAGATAATAGGTGGAGAGTTACGCATAAGTCATACAGAAAATCTTCAGGTAGTTAAACTAGAAATATGTCTACCCTTGTTTAGTGTTTACGATTATTGCAGGGTCACGGCAGTTCCTACAGTGTACAATTTTCAGCTAATAAATCTTGAATTCTGAGGTAACAAAATCAACTAGAACTCTGTAAAAGTGATTTATCAGAAATCATGCCCTTACTTCCATGATAAGAGGGATTCGTAAAAATTATAAGCAGGTTGTGGCTTATTATCTAGTAAAAGATACAAGAATCCCAGATCTGAAAACGATTATTGTTCATGTGATCACAAACTTGCAGCGACTTGGTTTGTGCGTCGTTGGCACTATTTGTAATCAGGGCGCAACGATCAAAAACGCACTTGAGACGATTTGCTCGGAGAATACTCACGGATCAAGTCCATTCCATTTTATAGTCAATGCTCAGAGTATTTCTACAATTTGTGATGAACAACATTTATTCAAAAATGGATGAAATGCTCTTATTGACATTAATATGAAAGTGAAGAAGCTGCACAGCTTGAACATGTCTAGAAAGCATATAATGTTGATCAGCAAACAAAACCATACAAAGAGCTATGTAAATTGAAACCCAGCCACTTTGATTTTATAGATTCGTTTAAGAATATAGAAATTAATCCTTTAATGGTATCGTCGGATGATTCGAGCTTTCTCAGTTATGTGGTGGGGGTCCCGTGACTTCTCATAAGGTATAACCACATATACCTCAAACCACAGTTTAATTTAAACATCACAAGTGTTGGTTTGTTGACTTTGCGGTCAAATTTGATCCGAGGATGTGAGTTGCGTGTACGATTTGAACTTCCCTCACAATGGATTTTTTCGTTGTTGACGGATGAACAATACACCATAGATTACGCCGAGGACGACGCTGTTATCGATCAACCTGAACAACTTCCTATGGGCGACCTCGCTATGCTTATGGAAAAAACATGTACAATTGGTCAAAACGAGCGCCTGCAACTGGTCGATCCAGACGACAATATTATTACGCATTTACCTGAACTAAAGTCCGTGGCAACCAATTTGGAAAATAATAACCCTGTGCCTCGAGAAATGCAGATAAATTTCTCCAAATACGTGAAATTTTCGAGTCACTCATAGAGAACTGTCGAAATTGTTAAATTTCGGGTGAGTCCCCTACAAAATACGAGATGCTCGTGGGCCGATGTCCTTCCTATGCCTACAAGAAAACTAAACCGAATAAGTATGGACTGATGATGCAAAGACTCACCACTACCTGCTCAATGCTTTCGTCTATACGAACAGAAATATCACAGCAGATGACTGGTTCACGTCAGTAGAATTGCACGTAGAATTGCGCATCAACCAACTGACCTATGTCGGCAGGAAGCGTAAAAATAAGTAACAAGTACCTCAACATGTAGTTCCAAATAAGAAGGAAACACAGCCAGGAACTTCTAAGTTTATATTCACTAGCACTACAGCCTTAGTGTAGTATCTTCCACAACCAAATACACATGTTCTCGTATAGCAATCTATGCAGCATGACAACAAAATAGTAGAGGAATCAAAGAAACCTGATAAGATTCTATATTATTTTTATAACACTATGAAGGCGGGGGGTAATGCATTAGATCGGAAGTGTGTAAATTACAATACTGGTTAGAGAACGAGAAGATGGCCTTGTGCTATTTGGTATCCAACCAGCTTCTGTAAATTCCTTTTTTTTCAGTCTGGGACTGAAAGTTCTATTAGGCGACGAAATTTTATTGTTCCCCTGAGGCAAACTCTAATTTAACTTCGTATGAGAGGACGTTTATCAGATCCAAGACTTCCTAGGGAGCTTCGTTCAGCCATGCAAAGAATCCTAAATTACCAACGACGAATAAAGTAAGCCGTCTACTTCTCAGCCCAGAGTTCTCGATCCTGATGCAATTGTTAAAGGGAAAAAACGACGTAGGTGTTACATGACAATACACAATGAAAAAAATGTTCTACAATCTGTAATAAGTATGTAAAGTCACAGCGCAGCTACATTGTTTCGTGAAAAGTGATAAATGTGAATTATTGTACGTTTCCTTATACGAGAAAGTATTTGTTATTGTTGTAGAATATCAACACCAAATATGTTGTTAAATGCACGCATACCTCAAACCACAGTTTAATTTAAACATCACAAGTGTTGGTTTGTTGACTTTGCGGTCAAATTTGATCAGAGGATGTCAGTTGCGTGTACGATTTGAACTTCCTTCACAATGGATTTTTTCGTTGTTGACGGATGAACAATACACCATAGACTACGCCGAGGACGACGCTGTTAGCGATCAACCTGAACAACTTCCTATGGGCGACCTCGCTATGCCTATGGAAAAAACATGTACAATTGGTCAAAACGAGCGCCTGCAACTGGTCGATCCAGACGACAATATTATTACGCATTTACCTGAACTAAAGTCCGTGGCAACCAATTTGGAAAATAATAACCCTGTGACTCGAGGAATACAGATAAATTTCTCCAAATACGTGAAATTTTCGAGACACTCATAGAGAACTGTCGAAATTTTTATATTTCGGGTGAGTCCCCTACAAAATACGAGATGCTCGTGGGCCGATGTCCTTCCTGTGCCTACAAGAAAACTAAACCGAATAAGTATGGACTGATGATGCAAAGACTCACCACTACCTGCTCAATGCTTTCGTCTATACGAACAGAAATATCACAGCAGATGAATGGTTCACGTCAGTAGAATTACACGTAGAATTGCGCATCAACCAACTGACCTATGTCGGCAGGAAGCGTAAAAATAAGTAACAAGTACCCCAACATGTAGCTCCAAATAAGAAGGAAACACAGCCAGGTACTTCTAAGTTTATTTATGTTCACTAGCACTACAGCCTTAGTGTAGTATCTTCCAAAACCAAATACACATGTTCTCGTATAGCAATCTATGCAGCATGATAACAAAATAGTAGAGGAATCAAAGAAACCTGATAAGATTCTATATTATTTTTATAACACTATGAAGGCGGGGGGTAATGCATTAAATCGGAAGTGTGTAAATTACAATACTGGTTAGAGAACGAGAAGATGGCCTTGTGCTATTTGGTATCCAACCAGCTTCTGTAAATACCTTTTTTTTCAGTCAGGGACTGAAAGTTCTATTAGGCGACGAAATTTTATTGTTCCCCTGAGGCAAACTCTAATTTAACTTCGTATGAGAGGACGTTTATCAGATCCAAGACTTCCTAGGGAGCTTCGTTCAGCCATGCAAAGAATCCTAAATTACCAACGACGAATAAAGTGAGCCGTCTACTTCTCAGCCCAGAGTTCTCGGTCCTGATGCAGTTGTTAAAGGGAAAAAATGACGTAGGTGTTACATGACAATACAAAATGAAAAAAATGTTCTACAATCTGTAATAAGTATGTAAAGTCACAGCGCAGTTACATTGTTTCGTGAAAAGTGATAAATGTGAATTATTGTACGTTTCCTTATACGAGAAAGTATTTGTTTTTGTTGTAGAATATCAACACCAAGTATGTTGTTAAATGGCCCATTTTGTTAGTTTTTTTATGTTCATATTACAGTTCAAGTTTCGTAAATTATATTTATTGCATTAATCATCTTCAAATGGGGTATTTTCGTTTTTAGACAATAAACAGTTTTCATGTAAGAGTGTCTTATGCGTACAAACCTGTTGTACACATGGCTAAAAACAGTAATGGCATTTCAGAAGTTGATAGTAAGATCCGGTGGATAACCTGTTTTGCGAGATTAGACGTGGGATTTCCAACACGAACCCCATCTGCTTATTTGCAGCATTAAAAACTGTAATAATCAACAATTTCAGTTTTCCATTGACAATAATGAAGAATTATGAAGGCGATTCATGTAAGGCACTAGGTAACTTCGCGTTGCTTTTAGAAGAGTATTGTCTGAATAGACAACAGTTACCTTGTGATTTTTCACCGAGCTGCATTTTTCAAGTTGAAAAATCGGGTGCTGAAAGTGATGGATCTATAGATTTGTGAGAATTTGCTGCTGCTTCAACTTCTTTTTGTAATAACAATAACAGTCTATATGAAATTTAACAATTCTGTTTCTTCTTTGATTTTGAGTCACCCTGTAAATGTAGCTCTACTAAACTATCGGACCGCATTCATAGCCTACAAGAGAAAAAATCTTCTATACTGGAAAGGAGGAAAAAAAGAATGTATCAACCTGATACATCGAACGTAAGAGAAAACTGCATATGGGAAGCCGATGAAAGTAGTCGCCATGGAGAGGTTTATATATTCGACCATGTATTTAATCAGGAATGTACAAATTCAGATGTATATGGATCTGTAGTAAAACCTTTAGTCGATTCCTTCATGGAAGGTTTCAATGCCACAATATTTGCATATGGCCAAACATCTTCTGGCAAAACACACACCATTTTGGGCAATAAAACAGATCCTGGGCTTTTCCAATTAGTATCCAATCAGTTATTCCAGCATGTGGCAGACCAGGTTGATAAGAGGTACTTGATTAGATGCAGTTATATTGAAATCTACAATGAAAAGATCAATGACCTCCTGGATAAGAGCAATCAGGGTTTAACTATGAGAAGATATCAAAGGAAATGTGCTGCTTGATGCAAGGGAAGCTGTCGTAGACAATGTTGATAAAGTTATGGAGAACATGATGCAGGGCAATAAGATCAGACGAGTTGCAGCTACTCGCATGAATGAGAGGTCATCTCGATCACACACGATTTTCCGGATTATTCTGGAGTCGAAAGATGCCAATCAGAAAGATGGACCTGTACATATAAGCTACCTTAACTTAATGGACTTAGCTGGTTCTGAGAGAGTTTCTCTGACGAAAGCTGCTGGTGAGCGTCTTAAAGAGGGGGCTAACATAAACAAATCTTTGTCAGTATTAGGAAATGTGATAAGGCAACTAAGCGAGGGGAAGGAGTTTATCAGTTATCGCGATTCGAAATTGACTAGACTGCTCTCACAGGCTCTTGGCGGTAATGCCAAATCATTGATTATCGGGAATGTTACTTTAGCTGCAGAGGAGGAGACTAGATCTACACCAGAATTCGCCCAAAGCACTAAAACTGTCAAAAATAAAACGAAAGTAAACATCTTGTCAGCTACAGAAGAGACACTTCAAGGATATCAGAACTTGACTCGCGATCTCGAAACTCGGCTCAAAAAGCAGGCAATTAAGCTAAAAGAGATGGATAAAAGCAAACAAGAGTATCTGCTCGAGATAGAAAGACTAAAAACGGAAGTATCTATTGTCGGGCGCTTTCAAATGGGAGCCTCGGCATCAACACCGAAAAAAACATTAAGACGTCATACTTTTGGACACTATGGCAACGTATCACCTAAAAAAGCATCCCTAGGGTATATGCCATTGAAAAATTATCCACCCAAAGAAGAATCATCCGGACGTGAAATGAGGCCTATTCAAGAAGAGACATATGAGGAGGCACTAGCCGAAGCAGAATCTGTGATAGCTGAAGACGTGCAAGTGTACTTAAAAGACAACTCAAAGAACTGGAAGAATCTTTCAATGAGCTTAGAGAATTCACTAAACTAGATAATCAGCTGGAGATTTTGGACCTGAAGAAACAGCTCACAGAAGCCAATTCTAAAATCGATCGTTACAGTCAGGAACTCCGCCAAGTAACGGATGCGTACAACGAAGAAATAGAAACAGTTCAAAAAAATTCTCAAAAAGCGCAAGAATTTCATCGACTTGCAATACAGACTCGATTTTCTGGAAAAAATAATAAAAAGACTAAAAACAAACGAGTCAGAAATAGAGATGCTGCGTACTCAACTGAAGAACCTAGGAAGATCAGAGAGCCCTAAACCATCTCTTGAAGCTCAAAATATTGAGTCAAAAAGAAGGTTGCAGACTTAGAAGCTATGCTTGACGCTGAGTACGAAGATATGCAAGATTCTTTAAGTGCTGCTACACAAACTGATGTAACGATGTCACACATTGCTGAACTGCAAGATGAAATTGGCTTCCTAAAAGAACTTGAATCTAAACTGAGAAATGACGTAAAGAGTCTGATGGACGAGAGTAACCAACGTGAGGTCAACCACTCATTTAAAATCTCAGATATACGATGCCATAATGATTCTACTATAAAAGAGCTTCAGGATCAAATGGCTGAACTGGAATGCCAAAACGAAATCTGGATTATGAAAAGTGCCCCTCTTTATAACCCGTGAAATAGCCCTAGTTCTAATTAAATTTCAGTTCAAGCTTCCAAAATGACTTCCGACAATATTAAAGTAGCCACAAAGATCAGACCAATGATCCACCGCGAAGTAGCCGATGGTCTAGAGCGTCTTTGGAACGTAAGAGTAAACTGCATATGGGAAGCCGATGAAAGTAGTCGCCATGGAGAGGTTTATATATTCGACCATGTATTTAAGCAGGAATGTACAAATTCAGATGTATATGGATCTGTAGTAAAACCTTTAGTCGATTCCTTCATGGAAGGTTTCAATGCCACAATATTTGCATATGGCCAAACATCTTCTGGCAAAACACACACCATTTTGGGCAATTAGTATCCAATCAGTTATTCCAGCATGTGGCAGACCAGGTTGATAAGAGGTACTTGATTAGATGCAGTTATATTGAAATCTACAATGAAAAGATCAATGACCTCCTGGATAAGAGCAATCAGGGTTTAACTATAAGAGAAGATATCAAAGGAAATGTGCTGTAATAAGTACGTAAAGTCACAGCGCAGCTAGATTGTTTCGTGAAAAGTGATAAATGTGAATTATTGTACGTTTCCTTATACGAGAAAGTATTTCTTTTGTTGTAGAATATCAACACCAAATATGTTGTTAAATGGCCCATTTTGTTAGTTTTTTTATGTTCATATTACAGTTCAAGTTTCGTAAATTATATTTATTGCATTACTCATCTTCAAATGGGGTATTTTCGTTTTTAGACAATAAACAGTTTTCATGTAAGAGTGTCTTATGCGTACAAACCTGTTGTACACATGGCTAAAAACAGTAATGGCATTTCAGATGTTGATAGTAAGATCCGGTGGATAACCTGTTTTGCGAGATTAGACGTGGGATTTCCAACACGAACACCATCTGTTTATTTGAAGCATTAAAAACTGTAATAATCAACAATTTCAGTTTTCCATTGACAATAATGAAGAATTATGAAGGCGATTCATGTAAGGCACTAGGTAACTTCGCGTTGCTTTTAGAAGAGTATTGTCTGAATAGACAACAGTTACCTTGTGATTCTTCACCGAGCTGCATTTTTCAAGTTGAAAAATCGGGTGCTGAAAGTGATGGATCTATAGATTTGTGAGAATTTGCTGCTGCTTCAACTTCTTTTTGTAATAACAATATCAGTCTATATGAAATTTAACAATTCTGTTTCTTCTTTGATTTTGAGTCACCCTGTAAATGTAGCTCTACTAAACTATCGGACTCATTCATAGCCTACAAGAGAAAAAAATCTTCTATACTGGAAAGGAGGAAAAAAAGAATGTATCATCCTGATACATCTGCCCCTCTTATAACCCGTGAAATAGCCCTAGTTCTAATTAAATTTCAGTTCAAGCTTCCAAAATGACTTCCAACAATATTAAAGTAGCCATAAAGATCAGACCAATGATCCACCGCGAAGTAGCCGATGGTCTAGAGCGTCTTTGGAACGTAAGAGAAACTGCATATGGAAGGCCGATGAAAGTAGTCGCCATGGAGAGGTTTATATATTCGACCATGTATTTAACCAGGAATGTACAAATTCAGATGTATATGGATCTGTAGTAAAACCTTTAGTCGATTCCTTCATGGAAGGTTCAATGCAACAATATTTGCATAAGGCCAAACATCTTCTGGCAAAACACACACCATTTTGGGCAATAAAACAGATCCTGGGCTTTCCATTAGTATCCAATCAGTTATTCCAGCATGTGGCAGACCAGGTTGATAAGAGGTACTTGATTAGATTCAGTTATATTGAAATCTACAATGAAAAGATCATTGACCTCCTGGATAAGAGCAATCAGGGTTTAACTATAAGAGAAGATATCAAAGGAAATGTGCTGCTTGATGCAAGGGAAGCTGTCGTAGACAATGTTGATCAAGTTATGGAGAACATGATGCAGAGCAATAAGATCAGACGAGTTGCAGCTACTCGCATGAATGAGAGGTCATCTCGATCACACACGATTTTCCGGATTATTCTGGAGTCGAAAGATGCCAATCAGAAAGATGGACCTGTACATAGAAGCTACCTTAACTTAATGGACTTAGCTGGTTCTGAGAGAGTTTCTCTGACGAAAGCTGCTGGTGAGCGTCTTAAAGAGGGGGCTAACATAAACAAATCTTTGTCAGTATTAGGAAATGTGATAAGGCAACTAAGCGAGGGTAAGGAGTTTATCAGTTATCGCGATTCGAAAGTGACTAGGACTGCTCTCACAGGCTCTTGGCGGTAATGCCAAATCATTGGTTATCGGGAATGTTACTTTAGCTGCAGAGGAGGAGACTAGATCTACACCAGAATTCGCCCAAAGCACTAAAACTGTCAAAAATAAAACGAAAGTAAACATCTTGTCAGCTACAGAAGAGACACTTCAAGGATATCAGAACTTGACTCGCGATCTCGAAACTCGGCTCAAAAAGCAGGCAATTAAGCTAAAAGAGATGGATAAAAGCAAACAAGAGTATCTGCTCGAGATAGAAAGACTAAAACGGAAGTATCTATTGTCGGGCGCTTTCAAATGGGAGCCTCGGCATCAACACCGAAAAAAACATTAAGACGTCATACTTTTGGACACTATGGCAACGTATCACCTAAAAAAGCATCCCTAGGGTATATGCCATTGAAAAATTATCCACCCAAAGAAGAATCATCCGGACGTGAAATGAGGCCTATTCAAGAAGAGACATATGAGGAGGCACTAGCCGAAGCAGAATCTGTGATAGCTGAAGACGTGCAAGTGTACTTAAAAGACAACGCAAAGAACTGGAAGAATCTTTCAATGAGCTTAGAGAATTCACTAAACTAGATAATCAGCTGGAGATTTTGGACCTGAAGAAACAGCTCACAGAAGCCAATTCTAAAATCGATCGTTACAGTCAGGAACTCCGCCAAGTAACGGATGCGTACAAACGAAGAAATAGAAAGAGTTCAAAAAAATTCTCAAAAAGCGCAAGAATTTCATCGACTTGCAATACAGACTCGATTTTCTGGAAAAAAATAATAAAAAGACTAAAAACATACGAGTCAGAAATAGAGAGCTGCGTACTCAACTGAAGAACCTAGGAAGATCAGAGAGCCCTAAACCATCTCTTGAAGCTCAAAATATTGAGTCAAAAAAGAAGGTTGCAGACTTAGAAGCTATGCTTGACGCTGAGTACGAAGATATGCAAGATTCTTTAAGTGCTGCTACACAAACTGATGTAACGATGTCACACATTGCTGAACTGCAAGATGAAATTGGCTTCCTAAAGAACTTGAATCTAAACTGAGAAATGACGTAAAGAGTCTGATGGACGAGAGTAACCAACGTGAGGTCAACCACTCATTTAAAATCTCAGATATACGATGCCATAATGATTCTACTATAAAAGAGCTTCAGGATCAAATGGCTGAACTGGAATGCCAAAACGAAATCTGGATTATGAAAAAGGACGACGAAATCAGAAAATTGCAACAACTAATTACAAACCCGAAGCAGGCTGGCACTTAACCAGAACCACCTGTGCAGGAAGACGTTGCATTTTATAGGGAGCAAGTTGAGTTCTCCCAGAACATGTACAAAAATGAGATAATAGGTGGAGAGTTACGTATAAACCATAGAGAAAATCTTCAGGCAGTTAAACTAGAAATATGTCTACCCTTGTTTAGTGTTTACGATTATTGCAGGGTTTGGACAAAGTTTAGGGCTGATCCCAGTGCTCACAGTGTACAATTTTCAGCTAATAAATCTTGAATTCTGAGGTAACAAAATCAACTAGAACTCTGAAAAAGTGATTTATCAGAAATCATGCCCTTACTTCCATGATAAGAGGGATTCGTAAAAATTATAAGCAGGTTGTGGCTTATTATCTAGTAAAAGATACAAGAATCCCAGATCTGAAAACGATTATTGTTCATGTGATCACAAACTAGCAGCGACTTGGTTTGTGCGTTGTTGGCACTATTTCTAATCAGGGCGCAACGATCAAAAACGCACTTGAGACGATTTGCTCGGAGAATACTCACGGATCAAGTCCATTCCATTTTATAGTCAATGCTCAGAGTATTTCTACAATTTGTGATGAACCACATTTATTCAAAAATGGATGAAATGCTCTTATTGACATTAATATGAAAGTGAAGAAGCTGCACAGATTGAACATGTCTAGAAATCATATAATGTTGATCAGCAAACAAGACCATACAAAGAGCTATGTAAATTGAAACCCAGCCACTTTGATTTTATAGATTCGTTCAAGAATATAGAAATTAATCCTTTAATGATATCGTCGGATGATTCGAGCTTTCTCAGTTATGTGGTGGGGGTCCCGTGACTTCTCATACGGTATGAGCACGTATACCTCAAACCACAGTTTAATTTAAACATCACAATTGTTGGTTTGTTGACTTTGCGGTCAAATTTGATCCGAGGATGTCAGTTGCGTGTACGATTTGAACTTCCTTCACAATGGATTTTTTCGTTGTTGACGGATGAACAATACACTATAGACTACGCCGAGGACGACGCTGCTATCGATCAACCTGAACAACTTCCTATGGGCGACCTCGCTATGCCTATGGAAAAAACATGTACAATTGGTCAAAACGAGCGCCTGCAACTGGTCGATTATTACGCATTTACCTGAACTAAAGTCCGTGGCAACCAATTTGGAAAATAATAACCCTGTGACTCGAGAAATGCCGATAAATTTCTCCAAATACGTGAAATTTTCGAGGACACTCATAGAGAACTGTCGAAATTGTTATATTTCGGGTGAGTCCCCTACAAATACGAGATGCTCGTGGCCGATGTCCTTCCTGTGCCTACAAGAAAAACTAAACCGAATAAGTATGGACTGATGATGCAAAGACTCACCACTACCTGCTCAATGCTTTCGTCTATACGAACAGAAATATCACAGCAGATGACTGGATCACGTCAGTAGAATTACATGTAGAATTGCGCATCAACCAACTGACCTATGTCGGCAGGAAGCGTAAAAATAAGTAACAAGTACCCCAACATGTAGTTCCAAATAAGAAGGAAACACAGCCAGGTACTTCTAAGTTTATGTTGTACAGCCTTAGAGTAGTATCTTCCAAAACCAAATACACATGTTCTCGTATAGCAATCTATGCAGCATGATAAGAAAATAGTAGAGGAATCAAAGAAACCTGATAAGATCCTATATTATTTTTATAACACTATGAAGGCGGGGGGTAATGCATTAGATCGGAAGTGTGTAAATTACAATACTGGTTAGAGAACGAGAAGATGGCCTTGTGCTATTTGGTATCCAACCAGCTTCTGTAAATTCCTTTTTTTTTCAGTCTGGGACTGAAAG